CGCGAACACTGTCTGTAAGCGAACACTGATAAGCAGAGGACCTGTACAGGAAACAAACTACGAGCAGGATGACCTCCCAAAATCTCAACAAAGCGTCCCCCAAAGTTGAGTGCCTTCTTGAATGCAACCTACTCGAAGATGGTGCGACCAGTGCCGTGGCTATTCTCTCGACCCTCTTTGTCATCCATTCACTCAATCCAGAAATCTGGATTGTAGTTAACGATGCGTCTAAGGCGTGCCATAGGAAGTAATATTCAGAGATGTCACTACTTAAAATTTTCAGCGATTGTGTTACCGCGGTGTCAGAATCGCGCTCCCTAGCTCATGGATGATCGGCTTCACAAAAAAGGTGATTGCCTACACATTCCGGGTGGGAAAAAGTAAAGTAAGGATCTAATATTGCTCGTACTGCTCGAATAAAGTAAAACTATACTTAATTACGCGTTGCAGACCCTGCTTCTTATTGCTGTTTTACGACGATCATATAGATGACAGCCATTTTGATAGGCACCAGCGCGCCCCTTATAGGTCGTGAAAGTTGCGAATAGCTAAAGCGACCAATTTTTCTTTTTGTCTTGGAAATGCTTTGTAACATGTATCAGTGATATTTTGCCCCTTACAGTTGGACTGTATAAAATAGCTCTACAATGATTTTTTTTGGGTGCTAATAAACCATTATAGTAAACCAGATTTGCCGAACTGCAAAATTGTGTTTGTCACTGACGTCGATACGAATTACTTAATGAGGAAGAATGTTCAAAGGTAATTCACTTACATTTCTAAGTTGTTGTACTCTACTCTAGATACTTTCAGTGCAAATAACTTTAGTAGTATTTCAAATACTTTATGGAGCAGGTATTTAGTAAATTAAATACTTTTATCGAGTGTTTTTGTAATGTATCCCGTGCGAAGCTCAAGCCACGACACCGAGGAGCGTCCAGATGTGCTTTTAATGGCGCCTGGAATTGCAATGCCCGAGCACCCGTCCCGCGCCCAGGTTCGTGCTCTTAAAAAGTGCGGGATAAGCGCGTGTAGAGTGCCTTCATACACACGCGCGCTTTTGCTTGAGTGGTGACATCTCAGCCATTTTTCCGCCCAATCGTTTTTTTATGCATTTTGAAGCGCGCGCAATCTTATGTCACTCAGCTCGAGCGCGTAGCTTTGGTTAATGCATAGACGCCATTTTACCGACCTAGTCACGCACCGAGTGCGCGAGAGCGTCACGCGCTGGCACATTCAGGGCAACAATGGATGTCTTCACCCTTAGACAGACAGACATGTAGGCACCCTAAGCGCGTGTGCCCGGTGACGCCATCTCTTGGCCGCCAGCTGATACATGACAGTTTTGTCCAACACTGCGTCACGCGCCTCGTCAACCTCGTTCAATCTCGACCTCCTTTTAAAAAAATACGGCCGTCGATCCAAGATATCGCCTTACGAGTAGTGTTGTAGGGATTGTAGCGTCCCGGCCTACAGCTCCTGCTTTCTTTTCTGAAATCCGAATTTCGGTTCACCATTCCTTTAAGGATCGACATATTTGTGTCAGGAGGAGCTATGTCTTCACTCAAAATGCAGTACTGACCCAAATAAAATGCCAAACTCGCAGTCGCTGCCGCAAAGTACAATCAAGGAAAGGCAATACTGCACGTCACTGGAGGTAAAAATTGAAGCTTGAAAGCAGCGTCGTAAAAGAGGGACCAAACCTTTCAATGCGAAAGCATTATCTGTCTCATGGAGCGAGCCGAGGTCATCAGTTTTGAAACCATGCAAAACGGCACCTTAATAAAACCACGCGCAAAACTAGCCAACGGCACCTTTTACACTTAAGTTCCGTTGGCTGGCGTGCGTCGACGAGGCTTCCATTGGCCGCTGCGCGTAAGTTTGTGTGGTGTCATCCTGGCTGTGTTATCGCACTGTTGTGTTATCACTGATCACCGCGTTCGCTCGCCTCTTATTGGTTGTACGGCGCGTGACAATACGGCGCATGGAATAAACCAAGGGGTTCGTTCTGCTGGAAACTACGTTGCTGTCTGTTCCTTCCTCGCGCCGCAAGGCACACGACAGTTTGAACGATCGCTCACTCGATGACACTGCGTGTCCGCGAGGTAGCGGCTCCACCGTTCCACGCCCAAGGTCAGCGCTTTGTACGCCGTAAGTTAAAGAAGGGTGAGAAGAGCGGCGTGTGTGCTTTCGTATTTGATAAGAAGTGGGTAGGTTACCTCGAGCCTTTTGTTTTACTTTTCTAAAACATTATACGGCCACAATCCTGCTACTACAAAGATTATGCCAAAACCAGCAATATTTACCGCCCAAACATAGATCGGGTACGATCAGCCGGAAAACAGCACAGCTTTCGATTATCATCCTCATACACACACGACTCTGTTGAGTGGTAACATTTTACAGCTCGATAATTTTTTTGTTTCTTCTGCTAAGAGACACTTGATATATATATATATATATATATATATATATATATAAATGCCTATCCATACTGTCACAGACATATTTACACGCGCCCTACCTTCGAGCAGCTACAAGTGCCACCCACAAAGCGCAAAGGCCGATGCGAACCCGGCCCCCGCGCGATTCGCACACTGGCCGAAGATGCCCGTAATCAAATTACCATATTTCTCTATGGAAAAAGCAGACCCCTCAAACGTGTTGTGGGGGGACTTTGTCCCTTTCTCGCGCACATTTGCTGTTTGCTGCGGAGTCTTCACCGCGCGCGCGCGCACTCGAATCCACGGCAAGCAGCAACCGCGCACGAGAAAGGGACAAGGTCCCCCCGGCAACACGTTTGAGGCGTCTATTTCTTTCATAAAGAACATGGCGGAGTCCGCGGACCGGCTTTCACCATTCACACAATCATTGTTGAGTAAGCGACTCTTAGATGGCGCGAATGAGCCGCCACGTCTTGCGCGCCATCTGTATTCTTGAAAGGGAAAAAGAAAAAAATCATGAGCCATTCCGTTCTGTGAAAATGGATGACCAGCGAAGTTGTTTAGCACACGACACAAACCCGCCCCGAGGAGCCGGAGGAAACTAGACACGAGCGACGGGACCGCCACTTGGCGGAAAGTAGACACACGCGACGGGACCGCAGCCCCGGGAAACCGGAAGGAAAGGAAACTGGGCGCACGCAAGCGGGGCTTGGAACGGCGACAGAGAGGGCGGTACGAGCGTAGACATGGCCGACGCCGGTCGCACAGTGGCAAATCGTTGAGAAACCTTTATTTTCTACATGAGAGTTTACTGATTTTGAAAATGGTGCCTATTGATAACTAAGCTATTAAGTAGAGCTTTTTGCTAAATTACTCAAGCATCAAGGAAAATGCAGGGAATAGTGTTTCACGCGCTGCACGTGTCGGCAGTGCGAGCGTAAAGTTTTTAGTCACTGCACACGAAACATCTACGGAACTCTAGCCATAAACAGCTTCGCTGTAAAAGATAGAGGACGCTCTCTTTTCACAGCTACGTATTTTTCATATTCCCTGAGATAACCTGCCCCGTTGTGAATTCATTTTGCGTTAAAATTGTCTGGTGAACTAGTTGGGTATACAACCTGTTAAAATTAACGCAAAGACAAGAGAGGAAGAACGCAGAAACAAGATAAAGTGCTGCTTACAACTGGCGTGCGGCCGATACTGGGGTGTGACCGACGCAGGTGTGCAGCCATCAAGCTTAGACATACCCCTCTTTTTCCTTCTCTTTATATCTTATCGTTACTTCTCTCTCTCCCTCCTTTACCCCTCCTTCTACTGACAATGTTCCATGTATTTTCATTCGTGTGTCTTCCTCCTTTAACAGTCAGAACTTCTCCTCTGTCTTTCACCCGTTTACTAATGAACGCCAGTTGCAAGTAGCGCTCCATCCTTCCTCTACTTTCTTTCTCCCTTGTATTTGCGCTAATTTTAACAAGGTGAGTTCATACCCAGACACTTATATGAAAATGAAGCTTTTAAGAATGTACCTAACTCTCTCAAACCAAATGATAAAACTCGCCTTGGCTAAACAAAATAAAAAAAAATGTTTAGTTTTACTCTGTGCGCATGTTTTACTAGTAAGAAACTCCCAACACTATGAACTCACAACAATTCGGAGCACATCTCTGATTGTATCTGATTGAAGGAGAGCGGGTAGGCCCCGAGGCAGTTTGCTTTCAGGTCTACCCACTATCCTTCAATCAGAGCCAATCAGAGCACGGCGTCGTTCTGACGTCACCGCAGTTCCTATGCAAGAAGCAGACGAACTTGCGGTCCGCATTGGCTGCGGTCCGCAATGGATCTATGGCTCACTTCTCGAGTCCAACCCTCTCTTCCCCCCTTCCCCTGCACAAGCACATACGCACACCAATACCACTTAGAAGACAAAGCCCGCGCCTTTACCCCCCAAGCGACTCGCAACGCCGCCCATCTAGCTAACGTCTGCGTCGCCTCCAGCGCGTCTCGCAGCGTCTCAAAGCGGGTAGTCTTGTCGAGTTTCATTGTGTTTGCCGCTTGGGACAGGCCGGGCGTCATGCGCACGCCTTTCCTTCTGAGTGGCATGCACACAGACGCACACACACATACTCCTTCCAAGTGTTTTTCTGTCCAACATGACCGTTTTTTTTTTTTTCGGGAGATAAAGAAACTATAAAATGGTATTGGGTTTCAGTTTTACCGACTCCATATCGCATCTAAAAAAAAAACAATAAAACAAGCTGCGATGTTCAAAATAAATTAAGAAGCTGCGGTACGGGACGTAAAGGATTCAGTACCACGGCCTTTCATCTAGGAAGGGTTGGTCAGACAGGTGGGTTCGCGGAAAGCTGCTTCGTGCGAAAGATTAAGCTGCACGCTTCCAGCTTTTCTTCTTTCGGTTTTCTTTCGAGTGCGCTGTGGCTCAATTCCCCTTTTCACCCATTCCATTTCCCTCCCCCTTCCCCACTCCAAAACAACGCTTCAATCATCATCATCATCCACATGGGGCACTGGGCGGGGGTCCCAGCCCGGAGCAGGTCAGCCGACCAAGCCCCAGAGGCCGGCGGGCTCCGGGTTGTACTCCTCCCGGATCATGGCGGCTCCCTTCTCGGCGATCATGTGCACCGCCGCGTTCAGGTTGGCCGTGATCTCGCTGGGCATCACGGACGCGTCGATGACGCGCAGTCCGGTCACCCCGCCTCTGACCCTGCAGTGAGAAAGAGCAAAAGAGGCTTCACGGACGTCACGGTCGACGTGCGCGATAGACACATGATGCTGCGCGCGGGGTCTGCTTGGGTGCTCAACAGCTCTCATTAGAAGCGGCTAGGAGTTCTATCAAATAAAACGCATTTCGGCACATCAGTAGTTTAACGTCGTAAAGCCATATTTGTCAAAATTTCGAGCTGAATTAACACGCTTCTTCTGCATCTGTCGTAAAAATATAAGGCGCTGGCGAAAATCAGACATTTTCGTGAGATTCTTATATCGAACTCTTTTTGCTCGCGTTCTGCACATAAAAAAAAAAAGAGAAAAAAAGAGAGAAAAAAGAAGAGAAAAACGCCTTGCAAGTTTGAGCACGCAGCTGAGCTCACCACCCCGTCGTCTCCTTCCGCACGATAAAAGTCAACCTATTACGGCCACCGTCACCATGGCAATAAAGCGTCTGCTGAATAGACGCACACACAAACGCAGTGTCTGAAGCCAGAAACAGCCAACGCCAGTTTCAGAATAGCCTAAACCCCCGTCCCCCCCTCCCCCCCCTTTTTCCTCTCCTCTCCTCCCAAAACCACGGGAGACTGAGGCGTCAAAAAAGAGCACGCGCCGCCAAGTGCAGTTGAGGTGCAGCGCGGGAGTAGTGAATTCCACTGGTAGATCTGGATCGGTTTCCAAAATCTGCGAGGGAGGAGAAAAACCGCTCCGTTGCACCCGCTCCAAATCAACGAGCGGAAATGGAGTCGCATTTTTCGAACGACCTTGAAAATGGTCGCTGCTTGAATTTGTCTGAGCTTGAACTTGACGGCTGAATGAAACTCCGATGACCAATCAAAACTGTTGCTTTTCACCAGCAGAATGAATACCCGCGACATAAACCGAGCACCTAACCACAGGGTGCATGTCACAAACAGAGAGGAATATATCCGCGTTCGCCGTCCCGGAAAGGCGGGGCACGCTGTGATCGCCAGGGGCGGAGCTCAGATCACTGGTGAGACATCACTAAACACACAGACAAAGCAAGCCTTTCCGGATGGTTGTTGCCTAGTCTGTTCTTGCTTTACTGCACAACAAGACACCGGCGGCATGCAGTGTACAAAGGTAAACAAACAGTTGCGGCAAAGTAAACACGCTTAACCTTGCGTCTGCTTCCTCCGAATTTTATCTTGTGCTCTATCTCGTTCTTCCTCTCGGGATCGCAGATGTCAGCGCTTACGATTTGCCACACTCATGTCGCGCCTCTGCGCCCCCTGAACCGTACGAGGTAAGAGCGTATGAGACGCAGTGCACGCACCGCACCCACTCTCCGTCGCCACCCGCGTAAACAACCGACCGCGACTGACCGGACCAGACCGGACATGCTTGGCCCGCGACGCGCATACGCAGTGACGCGCTGCTCTCGACTTCCGGAAAGATCTCCCGAAGTTGACGGAGTGGTCGCGGTGCGGTCGGGAGCGCTCCGCAGAGTTGCTTTGCCGCAAATCTGCGAGCAGAAAAAGATCAACTTGAGCCAGATCTGCGCGTGGAATATGCGCGCTACAAATCTGCGAGCGGAATTCGATAGGCCAATCAGGGCTTCAGAATCTTCCCCGTGGGTTCACTCCCGCGAGGCTGTGTCGAGATGCACCCGAGACCGGTACCCCCTCCGACCCCGCCGCACCTGAGCCTGCTGTCGACCACGGCGTGGGGGCCGTCACCCATCGGTGCCGTGCAGCAGGGGTGCCAGGTGGTGCAGGTGTACTGCCTGGCCATGCAGCGCAGGTACTGCTCGCTCCACACGTCGCCCTCGTCCTTACAGGCCGGGAACACCCCGGGCCACAGCCGCGTGCCCAGTCTCGCGAACGCCGCAGTCTGCATGATCTCCACGGCCTTCTTGGCGCCTGCAGAGGGACTCGTTGTTGTACGTGCGTCGCTCTTCGTTACGGTACGGGCATACCAAGTATAACGACAGTTACGCTCTTACAAATGCATGCCCACACTCGAGGACAACTTTCTAAGGCAAAACACTGGAGGGAAAGTTGCGGGCACGCATTCTTTCCTTATCATACAGTTTTCACGGCCAAATTTCCTGCCGCTGCGGCTCCCTCAAGCTCCGTAACCTCTAGAGTTATCACAAAGTTCAAAGAAAAGGACCTAAACATATCTGTAATCTTATTCAAAGCTTTTTCGAACATTGGCAAGTGCGGTACAGAAGCATGGAGGGCAGGGTTATCATTGCGCGTATTGTCCGCTGTAATGCACACGTTGTACGCGGAGCAAGAAACAAAACACACATTTCATTATATGCACGGAAACGTGTTTTGATGTTTTGTTGTTGTTATTTCTTTAAAAGTATTTTATGACATTGTACTTGCCGAGCGCTGCAACCTTGACGTCCTCGGGATGCGAGAGGTAGTTGGGATTGATGAGAGGTTTGTCGTGCGGGTCTGTGGTCTTCAGCCGGACGTAGCCCCTGGACTTGGGCCTGTTCAGGACGGGCGCCAACTGGAAGCCGAACTTGCCGCGATAAGGCTTGTAGTACGCGTCGTACACCTTTCGCAGACGGGGGGACAAAATAAAAATATATTGCAGAGATCGGATACCATTTCCAGTTGTGCGTATGCACGCAGCGCGACACAGTATAGCGCGAAAACGGGGATAGCAGAAAAACATGAGCCTTCTCGCCTTTTTTTCTTCTTCTTTATTTTTTTTTTTTATTATTGCAGCTGAAAGGCTGTCTTTGGAGTCATCTCTGAACGCGCTTATACACAGAACATTCTCAGAACGAGCTTTCGCCTATCTCCTGCCTAAGCCGCTAAGGTATACGCTTAGTAACGACATTTCGATCATCTTGTATAGCTTAAAATTATCGTTTCCAGTTATCCCCAGCTTTATCTGAAATTGCCGGCAACGCTTTTCCGTCCTCCCGGAATGGTAAAACAGACCGCGACAGAGCTAAAGGATGTCATTCTCATCTTCCTGACACGAGGCTATAGAATCAGAAAGCCGCATTTTCGTATAGCTCTCGTTCAGCGCTAAGTACCAAAGTGGCGGCGCCCACAATACAGTCGGGTAATGGAGTGTCCAATCTCGAAGCTTAGATCATTCAGGGGCTTTACCCCTGCAAAAGACAGCCCTCTGAAATGCACATAGCAAAAACACTTGCGGAAGTTCGCCATCAGCAGCCCAGATCGCAGGATGAACGCAGACTACAGGAGTAGCGGAACCTGCTAATGCATCGACAATCTTACGAATTTACGACATCGAATGAACTTGCATCCTATGAGGTGTTGGTGCAACGTACGCTTTGGACAGAAAACGAAACGCGCTTTCTGTCGCCTTAAGAGCTTACCTCCTTCGTGAGCCCGCTGTCCAGAAGGTAGCGCTCTCCCTCGCTGCTGCTGGGCGAGATGGACATGAGCACGATCTCGACGTCCGGGAAGTCCAGACTGGCGTTCACGTACGGAGTGCTCACGAAAGCAACGGCTTCGATGCCCGCCGGCACGGCCAGGGGCCCTGCGCCAGAACATGCGGTGTGAGCACGAACGAAGGCGGCAGCCCGGATCCCAAGTCGGTGCGCGTGACGAGACCGACCACTTTCGGCGTTTGTGGCACTTTTCTCGCAATTCGACGGAAAGGCACATGAACCTGGTTCGATTTTGTTTGCAACAAAATCGGGAGTGAGATTCAATCTAATTCTCACCCGAAGAAAGCTATATTATACATGGTTCGTATGCTAACATGAGCTAATAACGAAGTTTGTCTGCTGCGACGGTCGTATACGAATACAATCGCTAGTGTATCACCTTTGGCGCCGAAGGCGTAAGTGGTGACGATGGAGATGGTGTTCAGGTTCAGCTCGGCGTTCTTCCTCATGGTGGCGGCTATTCCCCCGACGTAGAGGTGGTCCTGCAGGCCTTCTCCCACCGGCAGGTCCGCCACCACGGGAATCTGACGAGGCAACGGTTCGGCACTTCCACAACAGGTCAAGCGTCAAATTCGTTCATATATGCACCACGACCTATTTCCTTCAACGGCAAGGACGCCGTGGCTTCTAACCTGGAGATTGTCAGAGGCGGCCTTCTGACCACACGTGTAATGAAGGCGAAATTATTTTAGGCCACCACCTTTTCTTCATTTTTTATGCACTATACGACGCTATTCGCAACTTTTGGCGATGGTGGTACCGCGGTGTGAGAATCACGCTCCCTGGTTGCTGGATGATCGGCTTCAGAATGAAGGTGTTTGCTTACACCTTGCTGCCGTGGAAGTGCGAGGTAAGACTCTTATATCCCTCGTATTTCACAAAATTAGAATTACTTACGCGTTGCAGAGCCAAACCTCGCACTGCTGTCCAACAACGATTATCCAGATGACAGCCATTTTGATTGCCTTTAGGCCGTGAAATTTGCCAGTTCAAAACACTGTTCACACATACACCGCGGCGTATATACTGTAAACGACTTATTTTTCGCAAGCTCAATATTTCGCGATTTAGGTAAAAGCTGAAGTTTTGGAATATTCGCGGTTTCAAATTTTCGCGACGCGGTGGGATCTCTATATAGATTCCAATGTATTTACATTATACCGGAATCATTCGCGGGACTTATTTTTCGCGAATTGTAGGCGATTCGCGAAATTCGCGAAAATTAGGTCCTCGCAAAATTTAAGTCGTTTACAGTATTGCTAATGGAGAGAGAGACGAAGAGAAAGAAATTACTTTATTTGGGGTGAAATAAAGACCCCAGTAGAGGCGCCCCTTCGCTAAGCGGACCAGAGCCAGCTAATCGATGTAAGCCGCCGAGGTCAGCCACATCCACCTGTGTGTGTGTGGGGGGGGGGGGGGGGGGGGGGGGAGGAGGGGGGGGAGGGGGGAGATTGGATGACTGTTGAACAACTAGACAGGAGCAGGGTATCGAACCGAAACCGAACCGTGAACCAAAAACCGAAAAAAAACACGTTATTTTCGCTCGAACCGGAGTTGAACTGCAACGAAATAATAGAGAGTTTTAGCTTACCGCGTACCGGGCGACCGCCGGGGTTACCGCGACCGCGACCATCGAGCCGGTACCGGACCGAGAGCGTAGCGGGTAAAGAACGTTTTAGCATACCGTAACCGCGCCTGACCGCGCCTATGGAAGTTTCTTCTTTCTCCAACGGCTGGAAAAAGTCATGATGATGATAGTGAATACCGGCGTGGTTCGTTTTTAAAGCGGTACATTTATTTGGACAAATGCCGCATAAAAAGCCACTTTTAAAAAATATTTTCCTCATTACGAGTAGTTATAGTGGTACTTCCTTGGTATACGACCAAGTAACTTAATTTGTCAGCTAAGCTGTTGGATACTGGTCGCGCAAAAGCAAATGCAAAAGACATATATTATCGGACGCGCTGAAACGCATTCTCAAAACAGGCGCAGGGCCACATACTACCTTCTCACTACGCGCCATTGCCATGATCGCTAAGACGCTGCAGTCTAGTCTTGGCTAGCTTGCTAAGAAATTGCAATGTAATGTTGGATCCTCTACTTTTCTTTCATATATACGCTTTGCAGCAGCTGTGAATGGACGCCGCCATAACTGACTTTCAGTTTTTGTTTCTTCTTATTCCGTTTATTTCACTTCACCATTACCATAGCAGGACAGCTTCTTGCCATATTAGACTCAACTGTGTCCTTTTTTAAAGCATCGGCCTTTGTAGAGGATCGTCAACTACCGTTTCAGTTGCTCGGCATCTCGGTAAGACAAGAGAAGGTCAGCAATGGTGGCTGTAATTTGGCGCGTGTGTAAAGCGTCTATATTTGTTTGTTCCCTGTGATAAAAAAACAAAACAAAAAACATGCGGTTACTTGAAGAGATTTGTGGCAACTGGTAATTTATTGGAGCGCGCAAATGAATAGAAAGCTTATTGGAACGAATGCAAGCCAAAAGAAAAAGTGAAATTGGTCGTTGTGTGAATATTTACACAACGCGAGGTTAGTCTGCCTGAATTTGGCGATACTGTTTCTTCGCTGTAGATGGGCAGTGTGGCCAGTGCGGTACGACCGAAAACCTGGAGTCTTTAACGTGCACCACCAGTCATGGTTATACGAACGCAGCCGGTACGATGCTCGTCCAGATCGAACCGGACAGGGACGGGGATTTGAACCCAGTGCTCTGAGTTCTGCAGCGCGAGCTTTCGCTACACGTGCTCCGAGCTGTGGTGCGTTAGCCCACTCGGCCACCGTTCTCCCACGAATGCGAGCAAACAGCATCATCCTGTACGCTGCTTGTTTGCATTCGCAGCTCCATTGCCATCAGCACCAGTCTCTAATGTCGGCTAGGTGGCTCAGGTTGCCGCCCGAAACAAGGGGCATAGCAGTTACCATCCACCTATTCAACCGGCCTGTCCGGCGGCCATGGAAGCCCGGATTTTTGCTATGGACCTCGGGTAGGCGAAAGCCTTTATAGGCCAACCAGAGCCGCTTCACTTGCCCTTTCCCATGTTATGTGGTGCGACGATTGTTTCTAGACGCCTCCCCCGCCATTCCAAAACAGTAAGTGATTAGTCTACGCCGGCCGTCGGAGCCGATGCCCGGCAGTCGCCATTGACGGTAAACGCGGTAAACCGAGTAGCGTGGCATAATTGGCGCATGCGCAGTTCTGCAGTGACGGTCGCGGTAACCCCCCGGTCGCCCGGTAGGCGGTAAGCTAATACTCTCTAATATGTATCGCTCCGGAGCGGAACCGATACCTTTTCCATGCGGTTTTCGGTTATTACGCGAAGTCAGGTCGCGTGAAAAGTGCGTGGAAAAAAACACAGTAACCAAAAAAAAAAAAGTAAAAAAAAAAAACTTATTTTCGCGCGAACCTGGGAAAGCCGTGCGCTTGTTACAAGACTACTTGTCCAATGTGTTATTTCCCTGATCAGGAAGCTAGGATTGAAGAAACTAATGCTTAATTGTCCAACGCGGTGGATGTCAACGCTACATGATATGCTCACCAGGCTACTTTAATTAAGAGGCTTCGCTGGAGGGTTGCTCTCAAAAGAAGAAAGCTCCAGGTCGACCGGAAACGTATGTGCGGAAGTCGAAATGCTCGCAGTATCGCTTCGCCCGGCAGAAGTGGCGACGAAGCCATTTCAGAAGGAACAGCTCACTTTAGAAGATTTCTACTGCGCATGGCTGAGATATTCCATGGACACTTCCAAGATATCGTCGCCATTAGCAAAGGCCTTGGTCCAGTCAAGAGGGAGCCTTGGTCAGTCAAGAGGGAGCGACAACTTCTTGACACGGATGTCTTGTTCAGCACTGTACATAGATCCCCGCTACCGCCTTCTTCTCACTCATGAGCAAAAGTACCGGGCCACGTTGCATTTGACAAAGACTTGGAAGCGGATCACAGTTTTGCAATGCGAGCATGATCCTACCTTGTTTTCTGAAACTGCGGCGGCTCCAGAAGATCCTGAATACGCCTTAAAAGCGCTCCTCAAGCAAAAAGAGGTTAAGTCTGGCGTGCACCTCCGAGGTACCAGTAGCCCTCTTGACATAGCATGCCTCCTGGAAATGCTAGACAAGGAGCTTTCGTTGCGTGTGCTCGCGCACACCGGCGGCTGCTGGCTTGCGGAAAGAACGTGCGCCACTTATTATGGGCACTAAATTCTTTGGTTCAGTATCCCTTTAAGAATTGAACCCAGGATCCTTGGATTTTGAATGAACCACCGAGCTAACTTGACGGCGACGGGGCAGAATGTTGAAAGAGAAAGAAAGGAGGATGAGAGGAGGGTGTTTGCTTTTGGTAGAAACTTCATTTTGTGCAACCGTTCATTGCTGCAATCGTTCCTTCTTTTAAAAAGCGAGACCTTTCTTCTTTCTAACAATGAGCGACAGAAGGATGATGCTAGGTGGTAATGAATATGAAAAACGACCGAAAGAGAGAAAAAAAAAATGTTGGATTACTCTTTTTTAGTAGCAAGGATAGGGCTCAGCATCTGCTGGTTCTTCCGTGATTCTTTCGTTTAGATGGGTTCATCTAAGCATTGACCTCGTCCAATCACCCCTCCTCTCCCCACTCCCCCTCCCCCCTCCACAGCCTGCAAATATCGAAGGGGGAAGGGGGTGCGACGCCCCCCCCCCCCCCCCCCCGCCTTCCCTCCCCTTGTGTACACCACTGCCTGCAGGTACACGAAGCACCCATCCATAGAGGTGATCGGAAAGGCTCTTGGGCAGGAGATAGAGCTATAAAGAGATCAAGCTATAAAGGGCGCTTTACCGAGCTTGTCCCCACAGCCCGGGGTTTACTAACACTGCCTTACAAAGAAATTGAATCTAGCCTACGGTCTGAGCACGAGTGCTTCACTCTGATCAGTGCTTTCGTCGCACGAGGAGCGGCCTTCGAATCGTCATCTTCGATATCTCTGATCAAAAAAGAAACAAGAAAATTCGGTTTGTTGTTTCCCACAGCTGAAGCGTACCGCTAAAGGCATGACTGCCCAATCTCCTCCCCAACAGGGAATTAACAAGCATGCGCAATAACCGATAGATCTCAAACCAGCCGTTTGAAATAGCACAGCTATAGGCGCTAACACGAAGCCGTGTCGGGAGTTCACTTACGTTCAGCTCATGCAGGTGACGGGCCGGCCCCACGCCCGAGAGCATCAAGAGCTGAGCCGTGCCGATGGTGCCGCACGACACGATGACTTCTTTCCTCGCCAGTACCTTGAGATCGTCGACGCCTTTCTCAAACTCGACGCCATAGGCGTGCTTCCCCTTGAACAGAATCTGCGTGCAGAATCAAGCCGGCCACATGCGCTCAGATGTTCGTGGAAGTTGTTCGGTCAGGGCTTTAATTTCATCGGGTGCACCACTTTCATCTTAAAATCGCTGTCGAAGTTAAACATGCTTTCTTCTTTTAACGAGAAAGCGGAGATGCAGAAGAATACTATAAAGAATCGGCACTAACTTCCCCCATTCTCTTATGGGCTCGCCACTTTGGTGCTCAGTGCGGGCGCTAATGGCGACAGTGCACGACTCGAAAATGCGACCAGCACCATTATGCACATTAAAAAAAAAAAAAACTGAATCAAAACGATTCAACTAATAACCCAACGAACTAACTAATTTTTTTTTTTCATGAGTCCTTCATGGTTATTAACTTAGATCCGGGGGTGAAACAACCCTAACACTATACTCGCTTTCATCTTAAGCATCGAACAAAAAGAAGAAAAAAAAAGTCCCGCTCTCCGCGGGGCATTACTGATTTCCCTTTTTATGTAGAGAATTAAGATATATGTAGGTGCATTTTAGATTAGGCATATGTTTTCTTATCAGGACGTACACGTTTCAAACGCCAAAGGCATCGCTTATTTCTTCGACAATCAAATTCTGTAAGAACTGCTTCGCACAGCGCAAAAACTATGCGCAAAACTTGATTTTTTGTTGTTGTTTCTTCCATTGAGGTGAATACGAGTATTTTTTCCTTAATTTTTAATAAAAACAGGTGCCTCTAAGAGAAATACACTGTATAAAGTACCGAAACGAAACCAATGGTTCTAGATGGGAGCGACAATCTCGGCGCCAGCTCAGAAGTATTTACCTTTGTAGCCAGGCTAAGCAGAGAGATGTGCAAGTTCTTCCGTATCTCCACAATAGGTTTAATGAATGCTTTACTGGAACTGTAGCGTTGCCCGCCCATCACATTTGCTTGAATTCGTGAAAAACCTGCGGATCGTCAAGCAAAATGCATCGTGTGAATATGTTTGGACAGTCAGTCATCGCGAGCGTGCGACGACCTCGTGAGTGTTCTATGCCTCATTTGTCGTATAGTCGAGGTTTGTTAACTGCACGAAAAACTGAGAAAACTGGGCGTCGTCTTTCTCCGCGTTTTGTCTTTTACGCAAAAGGATCCTTGTGGACGCGAAATGTTTTTTTTCAGGAATGATCAGAAACAATTAAGAAACAGAGCCGTCCTCTTCATTCATCAATCTTCTTCCACAAAAAGTAGTGAGAGAGAGAAAGCGATGTTGGTGGAACGGAAATGAGGCAGTACTGTGTGTGAGCTTCATTTCGCTTTCCACCAACGTCGTTTTCTTTCTCTTTACTACTTTCGTTGGAATAATAATAATCAGTGCAATGAAAAAATCGTTAAAGTGCAAACGAGCTGGTGTAAGTTATACATGATGAATTGAAAGCTGAGGCTGGTTTGAAAAACGGAAACTAGTGAAGGAGAGAAAAAAATACAGAAAACGTCAAGTTATACCAGGGGAGGCAATCAGTGCCTCCGGTGGTATAACTAAAGTCCCTTTCCAACCTACCTTCTGGATATGACCGCAGTAAACAATCTCGTTATTCCCTTTTTCACAAGTCTCACGCGTTACAACAGACCATTGTTCATGCTCACCGACTGCAAATATCCCTCACACATTTTGCTCGATCTGTCCAATCCAAAACTGCAAAACTTTGTCGCACTCATAGATTCCTTTTCTCGCTTCTCTCTTTGCCCATTGCTACCGGAATTTTCTTCTAGACAATATTCACTGCTACCGAAGATGATGAAACGATATTTCGCGAAAAATATAAGGGTTTGCTCAGTAAACTCTCTCTTCCTGGTTTTATTCCAATCTTTGTTTGTTCGTTTTCATCACCTTTGGCGTTTACTCAATGTATACGTGTCTGGTTGATTTTCGTATGTTTTAATTAATTTACAGATCGATAGTGTTTTTATATATATATATATATATATATATATATATATATAAAACTGAGAAGAAAAAAACCCTTAGTGAAAACAGCAACAACGGACGATTTAATCTTCGACGTTTCGGCCGGAGTCCGGCCTTCGTCAGGAAGGCCGGACTCCGGCCGAAACGTCGAAGATTAAATCGTCCGTTGTTGCTGTTTTCACTAAGGGTTTTTTTCTTCTCAGTTTTATACCCACGCCTTCGGCCTCCCGCCACCATGCCCGTTATATATATATATATATATATATATATATATATATATATATATATATATATATATATATATATATATATATATATATATATATATATATATATATATACGTTGCTTTGAATTCAGGGCATTCTGAATGCTGTTTCTTTCTCGTGGAACATCTTCGCGTGCCGTTCTGCCTAGAAGAGCGGCTCACGTGTACGCCTCCTGAGAACGGACATTCTTGTGAATGTTCACGACATTTTCTATTCCTTGGGTTCTTGTAGCTATCGTGACTTTCCTGAAAGACTCGCACTGCAGAACCTATTCGGGTGTACTGGTGAATTTGCAGCATTCCGACAGATAGTCCGTTCGTTACGGTTTTAACGCAGAATCTGTTAAGGGCTGGATTTCGCGCGAAAAGCAGTACGCTCGAATGTAACGGAACATACGCGCGGGACTTTATGCAAAGTGTATAAATGTGTCTAGACTTTAAAACTAAAATTGGAGCACAACTCATAAAACAAATACTTTAAAAGTTAATTAGGCAATTTTAGTATTATCCGATGGATTGCGATGAATATTGCCCCGTCTAACGTCCGCCGAGCCCTTTAATTATACGCAGTGAAGAGAGCGCCCATGTAAAAGTTCCCCACCTTTTTTCTTCTTCTTCTAGTTTTGTTGGACGTGCAAATAAACGCACCCTGTATATACGACCCGGCGTGACGCCACCTCCCATATCGGGTAAAACTGTCGAGCGCAGCGCCTTCAGACGGCGTACGTACGTACTCCCCCGTATCAGCCGCAACCGGCGCAGCCAGCCGATCAGCGACACGTCGTAGACTGAACTAGGGGGGACTTCACATCCTTACGAGGTACCATCTCCACGACAGGCGTGTTACTCCAAACACTATTTACTTTTGAAGCAGTTTAATTTTAGCTCGATGCTCCTTCTAAATCCAAGAAGCGTGTGTCGTGCGTGCAACGTACCCGAAACCAGGCTTCCCGTAACCAAGCATAACAAATCATAGTGCACCGCACATAATGCAAGCAAGACACATTCTCTGATCCCTGGGCTTATCCGTTTTAAGTAATTATTGCTTTATCAGTTATTTGTACCCATCGCGCTTCCCTTAATTGTCCTTACCAGAGTTCTGTGACGAGAGTCTGATTTGAGAGTGCACTTGCCCGTTTGCGTAGGACCGTTGTAGTCGACGTAATTGTAACCCAATTCTTTGCCTGCTTCGAGGAACACTTCGCTGAGAATCGTCTGAGTGTTGGGATAACTGATTGGTAGCTCGCCCGTGTGGCCGTGATAACCTGCACAGACGGGATCAGATAGTAAGTGTGAGCCAGCGGCGTAGCGAGAAATTGTTTTTAAGGTACAAACAGACTTCCCATTCAATAAGCTGGAAAGCAAGTAAATCCAGTGATGCCAAAGACGCTTTGCACTTTTTTGAAGAAGACAACAACTGAGTTTCTATTACCATCTATTGCAGTAGCAGTGTATGGTGCGTAAAAGGTTGCTTTGGAGCGCAGCACCGCATCGGCGTTGGAAAACAGCGCTGAGGCAGCTCTGACTTGCGCCTGACTTATTGCCGATGTGGTTCCGACAGTGGTGCACGTGATCGCCGACGTGCTGCTCCAGATACGGCGGTGCATCGCTGCTCAACCGACAATTCGGCACAGCATCCGCGCCGCAGCGGTGTGGTGCCGATCGGTGGCGTGTGCTTGTTCTCGTGACGATCAACACCTCTTAGATTGGAAGGCCTCAGCGCTCTTTCCGTGTGGCCGAAAGAGAAGGACATTGGTGTGGTAAATTCATTACTTTTGCTTGCTTATATACAAGTCACATCACATCAATTTATCTGTGTCTGGCAGCATTCAATTCGACGAAGACTCTAAAAAACTCTTTTGGTACAAAACATTGTGATTGCACCTGCTTTTAAGTTTAAGTCTGGGCAACAACGCAACCTCAGAAATATATTTTCTGCGTGAATGCAAGCAGTTCAGAGAGCTTATTGTCAAGAGTTGCTTGCATCTACACCACAAATCAAGTTGAAGTTATGGTAGATCTCGCCTATAAATCCTGCGAATGAAATCGTCCTGTGTATCCATAAAGAACATTCACCACATAAAGACACACCACGTGCACCACACGTCGACTGGGTGTTGAAGCACAAACATACTTCTGAAAGAAAACATGTGTTTCGACTTACATGTACTACATATCCGGGCACGTGCACACTCGTATGCCCATCTTCACAAACGTCGAGAAGAGAGGTCACCGGTAACTGGCACCGGTGGTGGTGCCGACCAGGTCCACAGGCCGCCAGGGCCATGGACTCCCCTTCCCGCCATCTATGCATCCCGACTCGCAAGCGCTGAGGCCTTCCTAGTCTAGGAGGTGTTGTGACGGTCGTGACCAAGTGGGAGGCAACGGCGGCGGAGAGAGTAGCGCGTCGCCGCGGAGGGAAGGGGGGGAGTACGTGTGAAGTCATCGCGCTGGAATGCGACGCAGCGTGCTGGTGGAGGTATGTGTACGCTTCACGGGACAGGCGAGGAATTTGACTACGCAGCCGGCGGCTTGCGATGGCAAATCCTAGAGGGTTCTAGGAAATGGATTGAATATACAAGGTGTTTCAGCGAAGGCTTTCAAAAATCCCTAAAACTATGCTGGTTGGGAAAAAAACCGTCTGGGAACAAACTGCCAGCGGCGTTGGACGTCAATAACTGCAAAGAACATACTAATTAGCTCAATAAAAATCTAAAAGTTACCAATTAACTTTTAATTAATAAAAATAAACATATGGTTCCAATGAGAAACTTGATAAGCATCATCTAAAACCACTAAACCAACTCATTGTAAAAAAATGTTTTTATAATGCAAAAGCAGGGATTTTACGGTTTTCAAAAAAAAAAAGTTCTTTTTTTCGCCAATAATGCGCGAAGAAATGAAATCGATGGCTGTAGCACGGTCACGAAATGCGGGTGGAACGGTGCCGTGACGTACCTGACGACGGAGGTGCTACGTGGTTACATCTCATAGCCGTCGTGGTCGGCGTCATTGCCACTGACGACCGCCACGAGTGCTCGGTGACCCGCGAAGTAAGCGGGAAATTGCGATCGAAGATTTTAAAACCATGCAGAATTACGCGTGGCAACTGGGTATTGCCAAAGTGGGATTCGCGAGTAATGTTTGAAAACAAGTCTTTCAAGCAGACGACACCAAAAATCTCCCTTCGTCGCGTCGTTACTGGCGGGATGCCGGGACTTCCCTCGCTTCTCTCTCCGAGCTGTGGGGCCGACGGGAAATTCCGATGTCCATCTCCTCGCGCCAAGAGGGGAGACAAGGGTTTTTTTTCATAGCGGAGAAAACAGCCCACGAGCTCGAAACCTCTGCAAAGCGTCGCCCGCAAAGCTACATCGCTTTAAAATGCGATTTGGACGCGTTTGGACGCGATGAGACACCGAATTGCAATAAAACGGAAGATAGAACAAAGCACTTCTTGTACTTCGTTTTTTTTTTTAAGTGTGAGTAAAGCCGAACTTTCAAGCGCGAGAAAGTTGTCTCGAACGATGATTCAATTAAGACGACATGGAAGCGCTCAAGGCTTGGCGCTGGCAGAATTGTACCTGCTGCGCCGCTCGCACTTTCTCTCCTGTTTGTTCTTTGACCCACCATTGTCAGCGAATGCATCCACGTGAAACGTTTCGACGCTCTTGAAGTAGGGCAGCACCTCTTCGTAAGACCATCCCTGGGCGCCGTAGTCGTGAGCCCACGAGTCGAAGTCTCGCTTGTTTCCGCGAACGTACATCATAAAGTTGAGTACGCTGCTACCGCCCAGGACTTTGCCCCTGGGCCACGGACTGCCCTGCACGAAGTAACCGTAACAGTTAGACGGCGCTTTGTCGGTCATGCCTCGACTTATTCCATCAGTCTTGCGGTCCTGGATCGCAAAGACACCAAGGGCCCTAAACTCGTCAAACTCAAAGTTGGAACCCAAAGTTCGCGGAGCGCGCCGATTGGACGCTGGCGAAAAAAGCGCGAAGTCATCGTCAGGATAGTCCAATCGGTGCGCTTCTTGAACTTCGGCACCAACTCTGTGTTTCACGAGTTTAGAGCCCCAAGCATATCGAGCCGGTGGCACGAGAGTCTCGGATCATGGCCTATGGATTCTTGGCAGCAAAAGTATCTTGAAAATTACAACCAAACTAACAACAACAAAAAATTTTTTATTTATTTATGTGAGCTCGTCTTTCTAGCTTTATAATAATTGTAAATTTATAATTTTTTCCTCTAAATTTAGTGCAAAAATTTTCCCACTATATTTAACGAAAAAAATTCACCGCTAGATTTAGCGTAAAAATTTTCCCGCTATATTTAATGGAAAACTTCCCCGCTAAACTTGGCGGAAAAATTTCCTCGCTAAATGTAGCGGAAAAATTTCCCCACTAAATTCACCTGAAAAAACTTCCCCGCTAAGTTTTCCGGAAAAATGTTCCGGCTAAAATTAGCGGGGAATTTTTTCCGCTAAATTTAGCGTAAAATATTTCCGCTAAATTTAGCAGAAAATTTAGAGAAAATTTTCCACGAAAGGGGAGAGAAGCATGAGAGGAGGAGAGTATACCCTCCTGTTCGTTCCTTCCATAGAGTTATTATAATGTACGCTAGAGGTTCAACTGGCGCTAGTGTGCTGTTGCAAATTGAAGCAGACAGCAAGCAGTCCGAAATCGACTTCCGGTAATGCATTTCTACGGAAAAAAGCGAGTGCATTTCCTCTCTGCGCTCGATTATAAGAGCAAATATCACGAATAATTCGTACCTACTAGGCACATTGGAACATTTCCCAGACACGCAGATGAAATAATTGGTCAGTTACGGCGTTTTTATTTTAAAATCGTGGCATGAAAAACAGTGCTAAAGCCGCTTCGTACATGTATTTATGTGCACTGTCGGATATTGTTAGCGCGAACACGGCGCCGGCGCTTTCCAGCATGGGGGTATACGTGCCAAACGAACGAAGGACATGTGGAAAACCAAGAGAGACGGCAAGAACTACGCAGTAACACTGGATAAGTAACTCCTTGTGTTTGCAGACGATCAAAATAAATTGAAAGTCACGTAATATAGTCTGATTTGCAATAAATAAGTACTGCTTTATTCTTTCTGCTCATGAATACATGCGAAGATGCTTGTTCTGTGTTCAAATCATCACCCGCACGCTCCAAATCTTTGCAAATAGGGGGAAGCCAGGGAACAGGTGCGCGATAAAAACTGCCCAACATAAGAAATAATAAAAAAATACACCTTTCGTAACCCACGTACTTTATTCTTTACGTTTCGAACGTTTTTTTAACCACTCGTAAAGATGCACGGCGGGGGAATTTTCATATAGTGAGAGGACAGGCATACTAACAATATATAAGCACCAACGGAATGCTGGCGCACTTTGAACACGCTCTACATTCCTTTCGATCGTTATTTTGCCTGGAATCGTCGCTCGTTTCTACATACCTGCCGTGAAACAGAGGTTTGGGCCTGAAATATAGCGAAGTTTAACTAGTTCAGTGGTAAAGGAAAAATGCTGTAACTAAAGCAATTACACTTTCACAATATTAATAAAGGTACATACCACCTGGTACAACCGAAATAACAAAAGTTATTAATGTTATTTTCCGGCGACGAGTCAAAATTCACGCGCGTTTTCCCATAGGAATACACAGAAAGACTCGAAAAGTAGACTGCATGCTGTCTGCTTCAATTTGCAACCGAAAGTCCCATAGACACTAGCGCCAGCTGAGCCTCTAGCGTTTATTATAATAACTCTATGGTTCCTTCCCCTCATCCTCCTCAAGAGGGCGCTTTAATTCGACGTTACAGGGATTGTAAACGTCTTTCATTTTCTTTTTTTTTTTTTTTGTACATGTTGAAGCATGTTAACTTCACATGTACGAAGTTAACTTCAAACGTATGAAGTTAACATGCTTCAAACATGCGTGAGGTGTGTCCGCAGATAGCTCTGCGTCATCATTTCTGCCGCGAACACCGCGTCTTTTTTTATGATGTGCGAGCAGTGCGACGGCTTAAAGGGGCACTCAAGCGCTTTTCCGTAGAAGGTTGTTTTTGATGGCACATCGTTTGTTGGACTTTAGTCAATAAAAAGTCACCAGTTCTAGATGGCAAAACGTCCTAAACTCACAGCAATTGAAATACACGGACAGTATTTTCTTTTGGAAGGAGGCACGGTGTATAGGGGAGGCCATCCTTGGGACTCCACCACATCCATGACCGATGATAATAGTTATAATTGCGTAAAAATTCCGAACGTCACTATCATTGTTTTTTTTTCTTTTAGGCGCGTTGGGCATTATATTTTGACAAAAACGTAAAATCTTCGGGCGTAAAAAATGTAAAACTGCCGCCTGCTTACATAACCGTCATCAAAAAAAAAAAAAAAAAGAAAAAAAAAAACTTACGTAGTTAAGTTGGCAGCGTGTATGGCTTACACGCAGGTTCGATTCCCGGTACTGTGTGTCGTTTTATCTTTCTTTATGAAAGTAGAAGGATACGAGAAGGTTGGAGAATCGTCTAGCCTATTCATGTTCAGAATGTACAGCTCGAGAAGAATCGAAACAGAATATTCTAGGATCCCAGGAAAGCTGAAAAGAAGCTGCGCAATCATTAAAAAGTAATAGCGCCGAAAACACAGACAAGGACGAAGAAGTGAACGAACACAGTTGAACGAACATAAGCGCTTTGTGTTCCTTCACCTCTTCCTACTTGTCTGTGTTTTCGGCACTATTACTTTTTAAAGACTATGGACCAACTAGCCCACCTAACCACTTTGCTGCAGTACAAGTCAGTCGCGCCCCAGCGCTCGATCGTGTTGTTTCGCCAACATCGACGCCTGCGACGCTAACCTTCTTCTATTTTGTTTTTTGGTCACAAATTTGACCCATTAAACGTTTGGTTTCTCCAGTTACACGCCGCCTCATCATTTGTCATTCGTGACAATACAGCCATTCATTGTTTGAAATGTGCAGAACGAGGTGAGTTTAACGATCTTTGATTAGATTTTAATGGGAAAATCGGCCGCCCATGATGTCTGTTTAATATTAGGACGACTAGAGCCCGTAGATTCAGTTATCACCATGAATACGATATGAGAATCCACTCGATTCCCCCTTTAAGTGAGGTCACAAGTGGAGGACCTGGGTACAGGGTCCTCCACTTGAGTGCACAGCGTGCTCCGAGGATCACTCACCTTGTCCTTCATGGACTGGCAGCTGTGCTTCTGAGGCTCGGTCTGATAGGCCCAGTCGTGGCGACCGTTGAAGTGGAGCAGCGCGAAGAGAGGCACGTCCGTCGAGGCATCCTCCAGGCCGCCGGCCTCCAGCAGCAGGACGGTTACCCTGGGATTGGCGGTCAGTCGGTTCGCCAGTAGGCAGCCCGCCGACCCGCCTCCCACTGCGTCGGAAGGGACGCCCGCGGACTTCCTTTTATTATGGGAAGACATAAATCTTTGGCACCCAAGCAGCTTACTTTTTTATTTTACTTTTTGCGACGCGTTATTTTGAGCTGTGGAGCTTTTTCTTTTTTTTTTTTTTTTGATCTGGCAAGTTTCTAATTTTTAGGCCGATATTTGAACAATAATATCAATTTATAATATTTATAGAGGCAGGATTTGCAGTGAAATTCATGCTGAAAGAGTGCTTTCTCAACTCAAATTTTTGATCATTAAATTTGAAGGAAGGATACATCATCATAAGCGTAAAGAAAAAAAGGTTGCCGCGAGATTTGATTGAAATACTTTTTCCCGTGCCCCTGTATCGCACTGTCTACAGCCATTGCCCAGGGCAAAACGTATTGTGTCGCGTAAAAAAAAAATGTGTCCCTCCCGCAGTCAAGTCCTTTTTCTTGAAACTACATAGTGGGGTGATTTCAGATAAGATCGACCAAAGGGTGGCTGGTCGACATTTTTAAATCAACTGATGTTTTTATATGACATTGTCTAGTGTCTGGTATAAACGAATCCACACTTAGTTTTGACCAGAAAAAAAATTTGGAGACAAGAAAAATCGTAAGGCAGGGAGAGGTGGACAGTTGCAATAACGCGCACTGATGGAGGGGGCAAGTTTGAAAGTGAATAAATAAAACAATAAAATTAGGAGAATTTTAAAACTTTTTACAAACAAACTATGGGTGCAACTTGCTTGTAATATAAAGTAATAATATTTATTAAAAATTTATTTAGTTTTCTAAAAATTGCCAAACATGCCTGCTCGAACGACAAATGGCAAACTTTGGAAATCTGTATCTCATGAAATAATTTAATAATTATTACATAACTTGCAGACATTATTTTAATAATATATGGCTATTATTGAAAAAATAAATAAGGTATCTGAGTGACACAAAAGTTACAATATATTTAGGCAAACATGGGAAAAAAATCAAACAAAGAAAAATTCCAATGCGAATAAAAAAAAAACACCACCTTCGATTTTTTTTAAATTTGGGTACCCTGTTATACTCTATTTCGGCATTCATTTCTATTAAAAACATGTTGCATCATTGCACTGTGAAAGAAGAAACAACTCCCCAAAGTAGGGTCCATTTTCAAAGCCTACACTTAGCAGTGTCCTATACAAGAAGTGACTCTGAGTTCCAGTTTCATGAAACTTGCACAAATCTTTTATATACATTTATTCAGATGAGGTCATTGATAAAAAGAGCGATCGGTCACACAGTAAAAGGGAGGAGAAACTATATACAGCATTTTACATAAGCGTACAAAGTGGTATCATATTAGAGACTAATGAATTGAGAAAAGATGATGCAGTGTGAAGGTGTACCTTCCGGTATATTTTACATCTAGAGTAAAATAAATAACTTTACTTCCACACACAAAAACAAAGATATAATAGTAAGATATTTAGGTTGGCTGTGTATTTACAATTACAAGCAATTTCAGGTGACGGATGCCATAGTGCCTAACTGGAGCAGCTTCGATGCTCTCGGTGTATGAATGAATCGTGGCAAGCCGATATATTTTATCCTGCTCGAGGATAACATTTTGGGATTTTTTTTATAGTGATCAGATAAAAATTATTAGTAACCACCAACAAAAACAGTAGGTTAAATACCCCGTGAAGAAAAATGTGATAAATAAGATGTCCCTGCATTCAAAATGAGCAGTCCTTGGGAAATCAAATTCGGCACTTTACGCTAAGGTTTTCCTCGCTGTACCCATTTAATAAAGTTGCTTCCAAGCAGATCCGACTGTCCGTGCTACATATACGTCACAGGTCCCTTCTGTTGATGACTTGCTGAGCCGCCACGCGTGCCAAGACTGAATGCCAGGGAAGGCGCGCACCGTCAGCCACTCTTCTTTTTTTTGTTCACGATACCGAACAACCTCATTTTCGTCCAGATATACAAGATGCACGCCTTTCAGTTTCTTTGATAGAACGCTCACCATTGTCCTGGCCGTCTGAATTGCGCTTACTGAACGTTCTCTCAGGTTGTTCAGCGTGGCCTGGTGCTTCACGAGTCCGCCAACTCCGTCACATGCATTTTTCCCATGTCCAGATGCAGAAAATAACCACTGGGCTTGTGGGCAATCGTCCTTTGCAAATTGGTGAAGCTGGTAGCGATTCTTGAAATGACTGGCGGCGCCGTCACTTACGTACGTCACGTACGAGTATACCGCAACGTTGTCTTCAACCCACTCCTTCACTTTTTCTAAAGCCAAGCAAGCGTGAGCGGCGTCGTGACACAGGTCCTCACTGATGATGGCAAAGCTGTTTGTAGATTTTCTTGTCGTCACTACACATGTAAATATCGAAACTTGTTTTTTTTTTCCAGTGATATGCTTGCACTTCGTCAGGAAGCACGATGGTCCAGTTTTCAGCAAAGTCAAAAGGAAAGACAATGCTCCCGCGTTGCATGCACTGTTTTTCATCGTAGATCGCTTTACCTTGCGTTTGCCGGATATGGTTGTGAAGTACCCAACTTCCAACCGTCACTTGGATGACTTTTAGGAAAGTCTCAGGTTCCAAAGTTTTTTTCACAAGGTCGCCGGACTCCCATGTTGCAAGCACAATCTCTTCATCCTCCGGGATATCAAGTTCCTGGAGTGTAAGAAACTGGCCTTTTGGGCAGTGATCACAGTCTCCTTGAAGGCACAGTTCTGTTGCTGGGTCGCACAGAAATGCCGAGTTCATTTCACCAGTGTTGAATGTTGAGCCTGTAACGTTCTCTAGAGCGGCAATACAAAGATAATAATTGGCGCAGCGCACACAAACGCACACTTCCTGGTGTGGAATACATTGGACCCATCTAGGGCGCAACGAATAAAATTTCGTTCGCCCAACGCCGGAATCGGGATGCTTGTCTTTGTATATACGGAAGGCCTCTTGTATTGAGCATGTCATGAAGCGCTTTGGCACGAACGTTTTCTCTCCGTTGAGCATGACAGAGATGACGTCCTTCTGGTTGGGACTTTGGCGCGAACATTGTAGCTCGTCTTTCGTGAAGTACTCTAGGGCAGCAGACAGGTTCTCAGGGCTCACCTTGCACCTCGTGTAAGGATCCGGCTCATACCACACGCCATGCTTTTCCTTGAGTTTTCGGGATTTACTGATGAGGTACATTGAGGCCTGTGGAATCATCTTTTGAACCTCATTCTTCGTCAGTGTTGACGGCAGGAGTGTAAGCAGTTGACAACGTTCCCGGAGAGAGGTGGCGGTTTCAAAGGCCTGCCGAAAGTTGTTCACCCACTCAGTGCATGTGGAGCATGTTGGTTCGGACGACCCCGATGGTGCGTCCCTGTCGTACGCAATACGTAGCCTTGAGCGTATATTCTTGACAGCAACCTGCTCCAGTTCTGTCTGCTTTCTCTTGACATAGGCAGGCCTGTCCCGACTTCTTACGACGCTTGGTTGTCCGCGGCGACACATCTGTAGGTAGTATGCTGCGATTTAGATCTTCAATTGCTTCTTCAGCTGGCACAAATACGTCAGGGCACTGCTCTGAGCTTCGCATCGAGATCTCCTTAGTGATGTGCATGAAGCAATGGTAGCACAGGTAGTCCGTCGCACTCACTTTGGTAGAACAGTCAGGCGGAAGAATTTGCTTCAACGAGTTTAGGTCCAACTCGCCAACACTTCGAAAATTCCGCTGCTTTGGTATATTCTTTTTGTGTTTGCAAAAGTAATCTGCACAAAACACTCCTTCGGAGCTGCAGGACGTCTTCATAATGTATACATACATAATAGAAATTAAACCCCAACTGATGGCATATAATTGCCAAGTGAAAGAACTACTGGGTGCACAAGTGACAAGTCCGAGGCTGAGGAGCTCACTCACTGCAAACGTACGTTTGAAAAGAGAGGTCACAACTGAGGCTGTCGGCAAAGCTTGATCCACGTCAAAGGAAGAAAGAGGGAAAGTCTCCAGACAAAAAATTGTGGTCAGCGGCCTTCGAAAAAGACTTTCCGGAATCGCACTGTCGTCCCTCCACGCGCTGATATGAAAGCACCCGAGCTTCTACCACGTGGTTCATGACACAGCCTGAGCCATGTCGGCGACCGGTTCGCGAGGGGTTGGCGGTGGGGTTACGTTGATGGTCACTCGGATTAGCCCTTGCTGTACTGAGCTACCGCCTGCAGTGCCTTATCGCCGGCTGGTGTCAACAACGAGAACACACACACCCTGTCTACACCAAAACTACAAGCGTTCACCGCACACGCGTCGCCGCCGCTTTTAAGCTTTTGTGAAATTGCTTTCTTTTGCCGCGGAGAACCGCCTTATCTTAACTACGCGCCTGAAATCCTTCCAGGCGGGCGTACACAATATCAAGCGTTTCGAGAAATGCCCGTGGAGTAGAACTATGGGAAAATTCGGAGCCCGCGATGTCGATATCGTCGCCGTTGTGTTAGTACACCGTCGCGTACTGCAGTCCCTCGTTGGGGGAGGGGGGGGGGGGGGGGGGGGCGGTCTTACTACGATAACATGGCGACAGCGTTTACACTCTATGTATTTACGCGAGGCTCGAGTATTTGGGGATAATGCTGCCGGTTGGTGTGCCCCTTTGTGCCTGATATTATCGCCCGTGACGCCAGCGAGTGAGATGGCGACAGGCATGACTGCTCAGTAAACAGGCGTCGGCGGCCATGTTTTGCTGGTTGAAGCGAACCCCCTTGTCCTTGACAGCGAGCGGGGAAATGCGGAAAAAAGATTGTATCGGCCGTTTTGCCAGAACTAGCGACGAGTGTCGTCTGCGGTTTCCGGCAACTATTTTGCCATAATCGTGAGCTTAGCGAGGAAATGATTTTTGCTAGCCACAGAACACTACCACGCAGAAAGGGAATGCTTGAACATGTTTTTGTTCTGGATATATATCAGGGATATATATGAGAGAGAGAGAGAGATGAAGGTAGAGCGGAAGAGGGAATAGCATATAG